GCAAAATATTAAAATACATCAAATATTAAAAGCTTCCCTAAACAGGGTTGCCTCTAAAAGTCAGTTAGTTGCTTATTTCTCTGACATCTGAAGAAACAACAAAGATCATACACCTTATAACAATGTGGTTCAATACAAAAAAAGTCATCTTAAAAACACAGCTTTAAAATAAACAACTAATATCAAATAAAGTGATAGTTAATAATCCGTTAACATATAATAGTACCCAATAACATCAAATTTCAGCAGATAATAATTAAACAGATATTCACTCTTAATAATCTTAGTTACTAAACTATAGTCAATGAAAATAACAGCAGGTCACAATGCATAAAGTACCACAATACATACAGAACCATGCGGAAGGCTGAAACAAAGACAAGCAACTTATAAAATTGTCATTTTTAAAATAAAATGCTCGAACTCCTTTCTTCCCAGCTCCTTCTACTGTTCTTAAACACATATTCTGGGAAAGGTGATGTCCTGGCCTGGTTGTGGATGCAGAGGAATGGTGGGAGCAACCATCAGAGCCTGGGGATTGGTAGTGGGATGGTGATGAGAGGTCAGAGGAAGAAGAGGGAGCAGAGTGGAAAGAGGAGGTTTTGGAAGCTGAAGAGGCGACTGGGCTTAGTGAGTGGGGGGAGTCTGTGACAGAGAGAAGTCCAGAAGAGGAGGAAGAAAAGTTGGTGAAGAGGCGCAAGTGTCTCCCCCTCCTGCTGTGACAAGCTCCCCTCGCTGCTGGTCTCCTAGGACCAGGAGAGGCACATTTCTCCTTCTTCTATTAAAAACCACCCACTTGTCCATTGAGAAAATAAGCAAAATGATCAGCTGTAGCAAATTGCATAGGCCAACATTCTGGAAGTTGCCTGAACAGAAATCCCAAACTCAGTGTGGAACTTGAGGACGCCTGCTCACTTCCTCAGCGAGCTCAAACCATTAAATAACACATTGACTGGTGTGCTGCTTCCTTGTTTTGTAGGTTGCCCATCTCTGCCAGCCTGCGCTGCACCACACCCACCTTGCCAGGGAAAGCTGATCCCTTGGAAAGGGGTCTGAGAGAGACAGCGCTGGACATGGAGGAGGCGGAAGTGGCATGCTGTAGCCTGGCATTGTTTGCCGTCAACCACCTAGTAAAATAAAATTAAATTAACATCTCTTTTGTGAGCGAGGACCCCAACACTTGAATTCCTGTTCACCTTGCCAGTCGCCCGTGCCCTGCCAACAACAAAAGGTTTTTAAGCTAGAAATGGGCCTATTTAGCTTCCATTAATCATTCATACTGTTCAAACACATCATCCTGTAACTGAAGAGGGGTTAATGGTGGCTAAGCTTGAGGCTGTTGTCAAAAGTAGGTTTAACTTTCTATGAACTCGCTGGACACAAAGAATGCAACCTGCTTACTATTCCGAATGTCACCAGCTAGCAGCAAACCGATGATTACTAATGGTAATTAAATACCTCTGAAGCCATTTGTACCAATAACAAAGGGTTACTGTCAGAACTTGAATGAGGTCCATCTGCCTATTTGGAAAGGACGTTAACACCATGTAAGTGATAAAGCAGATGGCATCCCCCAAAAGAAATGGTTTGTTTGGTTATCAAAGATTTGTTATTTAAGCCTCTGGATTTACTCGAGTCTCCTTCAGAGGCAAAATGTTAACAGTTTAGTTGTTGAATGACCACTTAGTCATTTGTTCATCTTCTGCAGAGGGTATCGAAGGAAGATGTCTGCTGAACACACAACGGCATGTCTTGGAACCACTGATTGATTCATTGGGGAAATGGCAATTTGTCCACTTAACTATAAGTTCCTACTGTAGGTTTAGAATCTGGAAGAGAGGCAACTTTCTGATGCAATTATCTATAAGTTATTAAGTATTATTATTGTTTTACATTCACTCATTGCTTTTCACAAGATGTCTCAAAGGGAAAAGTTAAAGGTAAAGGACCCCTGGAAGTTAAGTCTAGTCGCGAACAACTCTGGGGTTGCGGCGCTCATCTCGCTTTACCTGCCAAGGGAGCCGGCATTTGTCTGCAGACAGTTATTCTGGGTCATGTGGCCAACATGACTAAGCTACTTCTGGTGAACCAGAGCAGCGCATGGAAATGCCGTTTACCTTCCCGCCGGAGCGGTACCTATTTATCTACTTGCACTTTGACGTGCTTTCTAACTGCTAGGTTGGCAGGAGCAGGGACCAAGCAACGGGAGCTCACCCCATTGCGGGGATTCAAACTGCTGACCTTCTGATCGGCAAGTCCTAGGCTCTGTGGTTTAGACCACAGCACCGCCCACGTCCCCTATACAAATCCATGAAATACAAAAATAGCCTGACATCATTTTAAAATGAAAATTCACATGGGGGAAAATACATTACAGTGGAATAATGCTCTCAAAAGTGCTCTCATCCAACAAGAACAAATTCCACCCTCCCCTAATGAAAGATGGACATCACAAAGCGGGCAAGAAATCATACCATGGTATGATCTAAGTTAATGACCAAAAGCCGAGGTAAACAGGTACATCTTAGCCTCATGCCTGTATGTATAACTGTTTCTAGATGATTGTAGCCAAGTGGTATACAAGCTGTTTAAATAAATAAATCAAAGCTGGCAATGAAGGTGCCAGGCGAGCCTCCCCGGAGAGAACATTCTAAAAAAAGGAGCCACCACCAAAAAGGCCTGCTCTAGTGTGTCCATGGAGTGGGACACATGAAGAAGGGCTTCCGATCATGATTGCAGAGTCCAGGCCAGGTCATATGCGGGGAGGCGATCTTTGAGGTCCTGAGCCAGAAAGCACTTTATAGGTCTAAACCAGCACTTTGAATAGGGAACTATTTGTTAGCCAGTGCAATCAGGCCAGGATTGGTGTGATGCACTCAGTCCATCTTGCCCTGGTGAGCAACCTGGCTGCTGAGTTCTGCACCAGCTTAAGTTTCTGAACCGTCTTCAGAGGCAGCATTGCAGTAATCTAACCTAGATTTTACAGAAGTTAGGCTACCTCTGTTCTGATAGGGGCGGAGCTGATGGGAGGCACTCCAGGCCACCAAGGCTCTTTGAGCCTCAGGTGACAGCAATGCATCTAGAAGTGCCCCCAAGCTATGTACTCGCTCCTTCAGAGGCAGTCAATCTTGGGCAAAAATATTTGCAAAAAGTGTACATACTGCATACACAAATATGTTTATTAGGCGACATTCACGCTAAAATGCTGGTAATTTTTCACAAGGATTTTTTTTTTAAAGTGCAAATGACTGGAAATGTGGAGAAACAAATATAAGTTTGGGAAAATGAGAAACTGGGGGAGTTGCAATGGAGATACCATTACATCCCTTGCCGAAGAATTGATGCTTTTGAATTATGGTGCTGGAGGAGACTCTTGAGAGTCCCATGAACTGCAAGAAGATCAAACCTCTCCATTCTGAAGGAAATCAGCCCTGAGTGTTCACTGGAAGGACAGATCGTGAAGCTGAGGCTCCAATACTTTGGCCACCTCATGAGAAGAGAAGACTCCCTGGAAAAGACCCTGATGCTGGGAAAGATGGAGGGCACAAGGAGAAGGGGACGACAGAGGATGAGATGGTTGGACAGTGTTCTCGAAGCTACCAACATGAGTTTGACCAAACTGCGGGAGGCAGTGGAAGACAGGAGTGCCTGGTGTGCTCTGGTCCATGGGGTCATGAAGAGTCGGACACGACTAAATGACTAAACAACAACAACAAGCAGCATGGCTTGCAGGAGCTGGTATCCCCAAGAACTTCTTGCAGGTCAGAATTATCCCCATTACCAAGATCAGTTGGAGTATCTGTACCTCATTTGGAACAAGGAAAGGTGACCAACAGATGAGATGCTAGACAGATAACTTTAAGACATATTAAATTACCTATATTGTTACACAACAACCTGTGATGGCTGTTTCTCTATATCCTTTATTACTCTCAATGCAACACCTTAGAGGTTCTCTAGATGCTCTAGTTGTAAAAAGGAGGCAGCACCATACGGGATATTTGCAAAGTTTGGTTTTTAGAATGATAGTTGCCAGGGACAGGGTGTGGTGTGTGTGTGTGTGTAGGACACACAGGAAAGCACCCCACTCTCCTTCCTTTTTTTGCATATTTCCCCCTGCATCTTCCCCAAGCCTTTTATGGCTAATAATAATAATAATAATAATAATAATATTTTTATTTATACCCTGCCCTTCCAGGTTTAAAAACCGGGCTCTGGGCGGCTAACAGCAAATATAAAACATTGATTAAAATGCAACTTAAAAACAGCATAAAATACAACATAAAATACAAGCATCAATATTAATAATATTCAAAAATTCAGGGATCATTTCGGAGAGAAACAAACAAACAAACAAAACCCATAGACAGTAAACATCAAATGATCGCCAGGGCTAATTGGCCAAGTTGGTCCTACTAGGGCCAGCAAGGAGACCAGGAAAGAATTTTAATGTGGGGTCCTAGAAAGGGCTTCTTCATAGAAGAGGAAAGGGAAAAGGGAATAGAGGATCAGGCTAATTTAAATTGAAGGCCAGACGGAATAGCTCTGTCTTACAGGACCAGGGACGCGGACTTATAAAAAATATTGGGGGGGCCCGGGAAAGCTCATGAATAATAAATAAGCTCATGAATATGCAAATAAAGTGGCGCCGCCTCCTCGTGAGCGAATAGGGGAGAGCGTGCTGCGCCTATTAATCAGCTCCAAAGGAAATTGGGTGGAGCTTTTGCTCGGGAGGGAGGGCAGGAGGCATGCAGCCCGCCCCTCCCTGTGCATTTTGGGCTGGGGGAGGGGCGGCAATGGCGCTTTGCTGGAGGGGCGCCGGAGATTATTGGGGGGGCGGAGCCCCCCCAAACGAATTTTTGAGGGGGCTCGGGCCCCCTCAAGCCCCATGGAGTCGGCGCCTATGTACAGGACCTGCGGAAGGAGATTAAGTCCTGCAGGGCCCTAGTCTCACGGGACAGAGCATTCTACCAGGTTGGAGCCATCACTGAAAAAGCCCTGGCCCTGGTGAAGGATAGTCTGGCTTCCTTAGGGCCCAGGACATTTAAGCTATTATTATTCATGGACCTTAGGGTCCTCTGTGGGACATATATTAAAGATCAGACCTTGAAATGGGGCCAGGAGCTAATTGGCAGCACCTGCAGTTCTCTCAAAATTCGTATTAGGTGAGCCCTGCCAGTTGCACCTGTAAGCAGTCTAGTGTTCCACCCTCGCTGCAGCTTCCAAACCATCCATATCCACCGAAATTCATTGGCAGCAGTGGGTTTCCAAAACCAGCAGAGGGTTGCCTTCCAAATCTCTGATTCTTTATAGGAGGGACAAAATCATGGTTCTCCTGCAAACAGCATGCAACATGAAGGCTGGCAACATTAGCACTGCCATGTGGGAACCCCTTGCAGATGACCGCGGTGCCTGGAGAGAGACAGTCAGGTCGTGCATCTCTAGCAGTGACCAGAGGAGGAATGACCGCTGGGAAGAACACAGAGAAAAGAAACACCACAATGCATCTGCAGCAGCTCAAGCGCACGCCTTCATCTGCCCCAGCTGCAACAAAACATGACTCTCCTGTATCCACAGCAGGCACTGTAGATATTATTTGACCTCTTCCATCATCTCCCAAGACAGATAGATGCCAACCAACAGGTTGGGGTTATCAGCTTATTTCCATTCCATGTCAGTTTTGTTTTTGTTTTTGTTTAATTGCATTTATGTCCTGTCTTTCCTACAAAGGGCTCATGCTGGCCTATAAAGTTCTCTCCATATTATCCTCACAACAACCTGGGGGGTGGGGTAGGGTAGGGTAGGAGTTGGCCACTGGCTGAGTGTGGATTTGAACCCTGATCTTCCAGTTCCTAGTCCGGTCCCCAAACCTCCATACCAAGCATTCAATAAGGAGTCTGTCCTATCCCTTTTAAAGGTAAAGGGACCCCTGACTATCCCTTTTAAAGGTAAAGGGACCCCTTCATCACAGACGACTCTGGGGTTGCAGCGCTCATCTCGCTTTATTGGACGAGGGAGCAGGCGTACAGCTTCCGGGTCATGTGGCCAGCATGACTAAGCCGCTTCTGGCGAACCAGAACAGTGCACGGAAACGCTGTTTACCTTCCCACCGGAGCGGTACCTCTTTATCTACTTGCACTTTGACATGCTTTTGAACTGCTAGGTTGGCAGGAGCTGGGACAGAGCAACGGGAACTCACCCGATCGCGGGGATTCGAACCGCTGACCTTCTGATCAGCAAGTCCTAGGCTCTGTGGTTTAACTCACAGCGCCACCCGCGTCCCCCTATCCCTTTTACTGTGGATTAAAAATAAACACATATATGAAAGACACACATTTAAATTGAGTGCATATTTTTCTATGCACCCTTCCTCAAAAAATATGCACTTTCGTCCCCATTTTCCCCATAAAATGCACTTTAGTGTATGCACCACAAAATTTGGACCTGGGTGCAATCCATTTCTCAACTGTGTTCTGACTGCCGATGAATTAGGTTGGTTCGCTTTAGGATGTGAATAAGATTGACCTCCCTCCCTAGTTGGGGAAGAGTGTGGGCGGAGGCGAACATTTAGATGCACTCAATCCCTCCCCCCAACAATCACTGACACGAGTGGCGTGGGTTTTTTTGCAGGGGGCTGAAATGTTCGTGAAATGTGCCCCATCCTGTTTCATCTCAGCACTAAATGAAACAGATGTGCATCCCTTTTTCCAGTTAAGAAGAAAGAGGAAGAAAGGGAAATGCTTCTCTTTAAAAAAACAACAACACCAACCCAACTCTAATGCCTCTCTCTTAAAAATGGGGGGGGGGGAGAGAGAGAGAGAGAGAGAGAGAGAAAGAAGAAAGCAAAGAAAATATTTAACTGGCTTTTTCTCCTAAGGGCAAGTAAAGGGAAACTGTTCTGTTGTGAAGTGCATTACACACACTCACTAAATGGTGCCTACGGCGTTTTAACTCCTCATTAAATCCCTGGCAGACAACCAGCATGTCATATATTATGTCTTAACTGCAACATCTGCAATTGCATCTGCTTTTTTGCTTTTGAATGCTCCTCACTGCATGCGCTAGCGAGAGGCAGAAAAGGGAGAGAGAGAGAGAGAGAGAGAGAGAGAGAGAGAGAGAGACCCAGATGGCCAGGAAGTTGTCTTTCCAATGCAATGGGAACATCTTTCTGTGCCACAGCTTGCCTTCCTCCATCTTGGTCCAGTTCTGGCTTTTGGTGCATAAAACATATTTGCCTTCACCTGCTCTACCATGTGACCCTGTGTTCTTTTTGACTGTATCTTCATGCCTTGAGATTATGAGCTGTAGAGCATAGCTATAGAGCCTCCGCCCAGTATACCTGAAGGAGCGTCTCCACCCCCATCGTTCAGCCCGGACACTGAGGTCCAGCTCCAAGGGCCTTCTGGCAGTTGCCTCACTGGGAGAAGTGAGGTTACAGGGAACCAGGCAGAGAGCCTTCTTGGTAGTGGTGCCTGCCCTGTGGAACGCCCTCCCATCAGATGTCAACGAAATAAACAACTATCTGACTTTTAGAAGACATCTGAAAGCAGCCCTGTTTAGGGAAGCTTTTAATGTCTGATGTTTTATTGTTATTATTATTGTTGTTATTATTATTAATTCTGTTGGGAGCCACCCAGAGTGGCTGGGGAAACCCAGCCAGATGGGTGGGGTATAAATAATATATTATTATTATTATTATTATTATTATTATTATTATTAATGTCCTTGGTACATGCAGATCATGTTTCAACGCATATGCATGCAGCGAATGTCAAGGGACACAAAGCGCACAGCGGCTGCTCCCACCTGAGGGCTGCCATTTTGGTTGCCACAGAATGCCATGGGCACCATGTCGCATCATTATTTAGCCTTATTCCAGGGCATTCTGGGAAATTTTGTTGCCAACCCAGAAGAGTGGGCGGGGGGGGGGGGGCTGCAGTGAGTTTTGGCCCACCTGCAGGGCCGATCTTGCGTCAATGGGATCGCTTTAGTTCCTGTTGCCTCTCTTCCCAAAGTTAAGTCCTTTTCACTTGGGGAAGAGGGCACAGCAACAGAAGAGGCAGGGTGTGATCCATAGGTGACATCCACACTGTACATTTAAAGCACATTCAATGCACATTTTTTTACAACTTTTTAAAATGGGTTTTTAAACAAGAACAAGAACCATGACGTAGGTACTGTTCTCTTGAATCAGCAGAAGGCCCGGGATTTTTTCATTTTTCATTTTTGCCAAGCTTGATCAATGCAGAGGCATCGTTCTTCCTACAGTAGGCAACAGGTGTTGCATATACTCTTATTCCTTTCTCTCCCTGAATAGGGTTCTGGGGCTATGGTTGTGCATAACCTGGGAACATAGACAGTTGTTTTATACCAAGTCAGACAATTGGTCCATCTCCTGTAGCTCAATATTGTTCACACACATTGGCAATGGCTCTGCAAGTTTTTCTTTCCAGGCAAATAACACTAGTCTGCATTGGATTTACCTGGTGCATACCTAGTTGTCCCCCTGTGTTCATTTGTATCCATGGCCTTCATTTCATAACGGATGAAAGTTGAAGTGAGCAGGCCCATTTGCTCAGTCTTTCATTTATTGATAAAATGAATGCACATCTCTGTCTGAGGTCTCTAAACACAGGCAGTCTGGGCCAGTTGTAGTAATTATACTTGACAATGTTGTGTGGAAGTTGCCCTGGGCTGTTTGACCCTTTTGAAAAGTTCTCTCCCCCACCCCCCAGAAAAACCAAGTTTGAAAAATAACATGACTTTTACATTACTTGCTGTGCTTGCTGTTGTCAGATTGAATGTATAAGAGAGGTAAAAAGGTAAAGGGACCCCTGACCGTTAGGTCTAGTCGCAGACGACTCTGGGGTTGCGGCGCTCATCTCGCTTTATTGGCCGAGGGAGCCGGCGTACAGCTTCCGGGTCATGTGGCCGGCATGACTAAGCCGCTTCCGGGGAACCAGAGCAGCGCACAGAAACGCCGTTTACCTTCCCATTGGAGTGGTATCTATTTGTCTACTTGCACTTTGACATGCTTTCAAACTGCTAGGTTAGCAGGAGCAGGGACCGAGCAACGGGAGCTCACCCCGTCACAGGGATTCGAACTGCCAACCATCTGATCGGCAAGCTCTAGGCCCTAGGTTTAGACCACAGCGCCACCCGCGTCCCATAAGAGAGGTAGGTAATACTTATGTTACTGAAACATATTTATGTGAATTTGTATCTGAGACTAATATTTACAGACTGGCTCTGAGGCAGGTGGCAGCATAACACAACACACTTGCTGCTCTCACAGTTAAAAGTCACACAACAGTTGATAACTGAAAAGAACTGGCTCAGTATATATGACGTCGGTAGCTCTGTGGTCTAAACCACTGAGCCTCTTGGGCTTGCTGATTAGAAAGTTGGTAGTTCGAATCCACACAACAGGGTGAGCTCCCATTGCTCCATCCCAGTTTCTGCCAACCTAGCAGTTTGAAAGCACACCAGTGCAAGTAGATAAATAGGTACCACTGCAGCAGGAAGGTAAACAGCATTTCCGTGCACTCTGGCACTCATCTTGGTGTCCCATTGCATCAGATGCGGTTTAGTCATGCTGGCCACGTGATCCAGAAAGCTGTCTGTGGACAAATGCCGGCTCCCTTGGCCTGAAAGTGAGATGAGCACCGCAACCCCATAGTCACCTTTGACTGGACTTAACCGTCCAGGGGTCCCTTACCTTTTTACCTTATATGACATCACAATATTCTATGCTACAGCATTAAACCTTTGCCTAGTATTTTGGGTACACCATTCCCCCACCAATGCACTAAGTGATGCTCCGTTCCTCAGACACGGTCAGTCCTTGATGGAGTGTTTGGGATGAGTCCGATCCAAACTATTTTTTGATGCTGAAAGGCCCGAACCAAGCTATGCAATTTAAAAGCAATAGTTCTTGAAATACAAATTTTATCTTTTTAATAATGAATGCTGTTCAGTTTAACTATGGCCGCATTTGCACCGGGATATGCTTCATCGCAGGGCTGTTTTATTGCACACGCTTTGATTTCCGAAGGCAATTGTAGCAAAACAAGACTATCAATGTCCTCCTCCCCACCCTCACTTTGCATGCTGAGAAATTCTAAACCCCGAGTTTCTACACCCTTGAAAACGACTCTTTCACCTAGTGTCCCTTTTCAGGTACACAAATCCCATCTGGAACGAGCAGAACATTTCCCTGGGAGAGTAACATCAAGTTGGAACAAGGCACATGCCTAAAGGTCAGGCAATGGGCCGAAACAAACATGAGAAGCAGAACAAACGAGGAAGAAGAGATGGATGGGGGGGGGGGGAGAAACCAAGCAACAAGAGAGAAGCAACAAAGGATTATATAAAGAAAACAAGAGGCAACCCTGCCCTCACTATTAGCATTTACCTGTGATCCACCTGCCAGGTTTCTGAATGATTCCAAGCCTCAATAGATCACCTCGTTGCAAACTCAATTCAATGGCATAAGTGGAGATTTCGAGGTCAGCTGAAGTTCCTCTAGCATACAACGTATGGACATTTTCTCACTGTGGGTGTAAATATTTATAGAAATCTTTGTAGCAGGGGGCATCTGTGGTAAAGAGACAAGATGCCAACAGAAAAAAAAATCAATTGGTGCATTTACTGGTTGGGTGGGGGGGCTTCACTTGCATGAAGGCCAGAGGATAATTGTGGAAGGGTTTGCAAAGTGGTTGCCAGGCAATTCTATGGTAACACAGATCACACGTTGTATTTGCCCATGTAAACATTGTTTAGTAGTTGAAAGATGGTTGGTTTCAGCAGATTTGGAACAGCTTGCTGAGATTTTGCATGGTCACCCTGGGCTCTGTTGGGAGGAAGGGCAGGATACAAATTGAAATAAAATAAAATAGATAACATATTATCTAATTGAGCATGTGAGCAAGAAGAGCATTGTCTGAATACTTCCTTGATTCCATTCGCTACAGTTCAGTGTTTAAGCTACCATTATTATAACACTACTTACAATTTATTGTCACAGTTTCAAACAATGCCCCCCTTTATGGTTAGCCCCCACCCCCAATTCCATGTGAAAATGGTAGATGATTCAGTTACATTTCCTTTGATTGATGTCACTCACCATTGACTTGACTTACCATTATTTATTCCGTCACATGGCTAAATCGTGTTGGTTGCATGGCATCGTGGTGCCACCTCATTCAATGCACAATCCCTGATTGGTTGAGCTCACCCATGTGACTAACACAAGAAGGTGAACAGAACAACAGAAGTAGTAGTTGGGGTAGGAAACAATATCGCATTACAGGACAGGGAAAACGTCTTTCAGGGAATATTTCAAACACATTGAGATCAATAAATTCTCATTTGAAAAGTGAAACTGGATGATATTTGATGTAGTCCAAGTCTGAGGGATTTGTGGGAGGATGTGAAAGTTCAGCCAATCCCCTTTGATCATGCATGGCTGTTTTATGAATTTATTGCACAAATTCTCCTCTACTGTTTGTCTCAGTGGGTATTTCAGCGGATAGGCAGGGATTGGGGCCCATTGTCCTGTGCATGTTGCCAGACTCAGACTCCCATCATCCCCAACCATAGGGTGTGCTGCAAAGGCTGGTGGGAGTTGTGGTCCAATACAACTGGAGGGAGAAGGCGGTACTTAGCCAACCCAGGGCAACTCAGCATCTGAATTATTATTTTCTTAAATGGAAATGTCTTGCCTGTACTTGGAGTTCAGCTGCACCATCTTTGACAGTGACAGTCTGCAGCTCAGGAAGATGGTGGCTCAACTGAGTCTAGCTGAGTGATGGCTTCTCTTTCTGCCCTCTCTCTTCAGCAGAGTTGTGTATTTAGATACACCCTCTTTTGTGCTAAAAATAACGAAGGGTCATATTGGAAAGAAATCAGTATGGAGGAACTGATCCATTATTGATAGAAATTTCAAGCCAGCTTGCCAGTCTGTTTTGTACTGTGGTCGGCCCTCAATTTTTAATGAAGGAACTTACGAAAATCGTAGAGGGTGTAAACCGGTGACCTCGGGATGATACCTTGCAGCAAAAGTTCCCGTCGCAGAATAGAGCTGCCTGCCCTTGCATCTTTTCTGAGCTTTACCTCAACCTGACCTTGGCTTTTGAAGGCAACAATACCGTCGGGCACAATACCTTGACTCAGACAGGAAAGGCAGATTTAGGAAGATGCGCAACGGTGAAAGAAGACTAAACAAACCAACCTGCTTGGCTTTTGTGCACCGTTTCCATACATTTACCCTCTGATTAATACTCTTGTCCTGTTTTGCTGTACACACCTCCTGTCTGTTGAGAGAGCCTCTTTAATCAAATAGTTTTTATGAAGATGATTCTGCTGGGAGCCATGTAACAAAGGCACAGGAAGAGGCACAGACTACTGAAGAGGAAGAAAAGAGATGAGGTCAAGGAACTGGAAGATGGGCTGGGCAGGCTATCATATCAGGCATGCAAGAATGGAAGATCTTGGTGTGTCAGTGGCGTAGCGTGGGGGGTGCCAGGGGTGCCGGCCGCACCGGGCGCAACATGGGCGGGGGGCGCGCTCGCACTAGCAGCTCTCTGCCCCCTACTAAAATCCACGGGTTAGGGAGCCCGCGCTCGCTCGGCTTGGCGAGGAGGTCGCGGAAGGGGGAGAGCGAAGCCTTCTGTCGCGGGCAAAAAAAGGAGAGGAAGCCGGGCGGGCGGGCTGGCTGGCTGGCTGGCGGGGGTCTGGCTGCGCCTGCTGCTGCCCTTGCCGCTGCTGCCGGGCTTTGACAGCTTGGCGAAGCGGAGGGAGAGGAGCTTTATGGTGATTGCGGCTCTCTCTCCACTGGCCGCCTGGGTAGTGAGCCGAGCCGAGCAGGGAGTCTGGCGAGGGGGCGGGAAGAGACTTTTCATCGCTCATAGGCGCCTCAGGGCATGCAGCAAGCAGAGAGAGAAGATGGAAACGCTGTGTGGCTATTAAGGAAGAAAGCGAAAATGCCTTGGAGAAGGTGGAGAGGCGGGGAAAGAAACCTCGCTCTGCTTTGGAAAAATACTGTACTTGCCTGCCCGGGTCGCAATTTGTTTGCCAGGGGCAAATACTGCTGCCCGGGTGCGACCACGCATCGCGCTGTGGTGTGTGGCTGTGTGGGGTGTGTGCATCTGAAATGGATTGCACTCTCTGTGTCCACAAGCTACCACATTTGAAATACTGTGAACAGTTCTGCTTCCCTCGCCTCAAAAAGGATACTGTCGTAGGATTCTTGAGCAGTCTTACGAGGCAAAGGTGGTGTGGTGGTGGTGGTAGGAAGCCAGTTTGGACCTCGGAATGTCCAAAGTCTATATCAGATTTGGAATTGAATCACAGAGATGCCCTGCTTGCAAAATGGTGGTGGGGAAACGTAACCTTAAGAGGTGCAAACAAGCCTTGATTAAATAGCTGGTAGGGCAAGTAAAGGTAAAGGTACCCCTGCCCGTACGGGCCAGTCTTGCCAGACTCTAGGGTTGTGCGCCCATCTCACTCAAGAGGCCGGGGGCCAGCGCTGTCCGGAGACACTTCCGGGTCACGTGGCCAGCGTGACATCGCTGCTCTGGCAAGCCAAAGCCGCACACGGAAACGCCGTTTACCTTCCCGCTAGAAAGCGGTCCCTATTTATCTACTTGCACCCGGGGGTGCTTTCGAACTGCTAGGTTGGCAGGCGCTGGGACCGAACGACGGGAGCGCACCCCGCCGCAGGGATTCGAACCGCCAACCTTTCGATCGGCAAGCCCTAGGCGCTGAGGCTTTTACCCACAGCGCCACCTGCGTCCCTAGCTGGTAGGGCAGTGACACTCAAATGCAGGTGGCATGAATGTCAATCTCCATCGGCTTGTGTCCAGTGAACGAAACACACACAGAGAGAGATTCATGCTTTATTGTGATGCTCCTCATGGTATCTGCATGGCAGTAGAAGCCCACATTTTACTGGCAGAGTGTGCAGACGTCCCTTCTTACACCTGCTCAAGTGAAGAGTTAGCACACTTTGCCATGTGCTTTGTCAATGTCAGCTCTCCTGCTGCAGCAAAGCTATTTCCCTGTTCCCCTGAAGAGATAGAATCAAAAGCATTAGGGGAAATGTTTGAACTGATACTCTGGTAAGCCCAAGGTCCCGGTTTCAAATGAAGCTATCAGGACTTATCTGTGCCTAATTATAATGGAGTAATTTGTTCCAAATATTATTTTATTGTTCTACTATTTAGCTTAGCAACTCAATGGCACAGCGCATGAGCTGCACTCAAAGGGCCTCTGGCTCAGTTCCTGGCGTCTCTGAAGAAAGAGGACACAGGTCTGCATATGATTAGCATGTGCCAATGGATCTGTATCGATGCAAAAATTAGAAATATTTAATTACTATAGTTTAAATGGAGACGCAATACATAGTACCCTAATGGGGAAGACCACGACCTGTGGGCCTTCTCAGTCTGCTGTGCATGTGCTGCTAACTGTGGGTGGGCAACTGCAAGGACCACACTTGCTTGTATAGATCTTTAGCATTAAACCAGATTTGGGCAGGACAACCCTTCAGACAGAGAACGGGGGGAGTTAAGATGTGGTCACCATGTCCAACAACAACCAGAGGGCCGCAAGCTAGCCACTGCTGAAAGAGAGGACCGTGCTCTGTAAAATAGGACGCACGGCCACTCTAAGTGAAAGTCTCTAATCCTGCTTAGAAAGTCTCAGCAGGAATCACTTCTGACCACATATGATTTGGGTGGGGCTGCAAGGAATATGTTCCAAAAGACTGGGCAAAACTTGTAGTAGTGTATTTCCTGTTTTGGATGGTGGTTGGACTTGAGGAGCTTTCGAGATCCCTATCAGTGCTACGATTCTACATATTTCCAAAAACTCAGTGAAAATGAGGCCAAGCCAAACTGTATTGTGCACTCTGATCCTGGAATGGAATGTCAATGGGATATTCCTCAAAATAAAGGTTCGAAGGCTGCAGCCTTAACCTACAACCTATGAAATAGTTTTCCTTTTTAACCTTCGGAAAACAAAAAGCTAAAGTGCCACTTGGTCTCCCTGGATTATGGTCTATCGAAATGCAAGTGATTTCTAACAAGCACAGAAGTCACCACCATTCCTGAGAGCAGTGGCAGGAAATGTGCTCGTTTCTACTCCTGCAGAAACTGCTCTTCTTTTATAAATGGTAATGGGAGTACAAAATGGAATTATGGAACTGACCTGAACATTCTGTTAATTGCAAGGTGGTGGAAGGTTATTTTCACCAGAGGTGCATTCAGCAATTCGATGTTGCAAATTGCTTCACAAGTCATGGAAAATGAACTCATTAATTGAATGATATGATAGGTTAGCAAGCTAGAATCATCAGTGTAAACTATTTAGAGATTCATATAGCAAAAGGAAAAAGGAAAAAGAGATGAAGATGTGAAACCAGTAACATGATATTTATTGCATAAATTTTTTAATAAAATTCTTCATATTTTCAAGATCAAGTTTCATCCCGGTAACTTGAACAAAATATCTCAGATTTAGATTGGGTGGATTTTGATTTGGTGGATAGAGTGCCTGAAGAACTGTGGATGGAGGCTCGTAACATTATACAGGAGGCAGCAACGAAAACCATCCCAATGAAAAGGAAATGCAAGAAAGCCAAGTGGCTGTCCCACAAGGCCTTACAAATAGTGGGGGTGAGAACGCAAGCAAAATGTGAGGGAGATAGTGAAAGATACAGGAAATTGAATGCAGATTTCCGAAAAATAGCAAGGAGAGACAAGAGGACCTTCTTAAACGAGCAATGCAAAGAAATAGAGGAAAACAATAGAATGGGAAAAACCAGAGATCTGTTCAAGAAAATTGGAGATA